AATGTTATACAGGTTATGGACGACAAAAAAAAAAAAAAATACAGGTTATGATAAGAGCATCTAGATATGTGTAGTATGAGGCTGTAAATATATTTTTATCATTTCATATTTAACTATCCAAAAATAAGTAGATCCAAAGCAATTTACGAGAAATAATAAAGTGCTCCATATTTATAAGTTGCTCAATGGCCTCTATTTTTTTCTTAGTGTTTTTCCATATTATTCTTTAAAATTAGATTTTTTTTTTTGTCGTCATTTTTTTTTGGTGTGGGGCACAACAGACTAGTTCATTAACCCTTTTTTTGCCTCATTTGCAGGAAAACGGATCAAACCTCAGTGCCACAGAGCGTGCAAGTGGAACAACGCCACTCCACCACGATGCTCTTGACAAAATTAGAGGGTTTTAATCTACGAGCGTGCAAGTGGAACAACGCCACTCCACCACGATNCTCTTGGCAAAATTAGAGGGTTTTAATCTACGAGCGTGCAAGTGGAACAACGCCACTCCACCACGATGCTCTTGGCAAAATTAGAGGGTTTTAATCTACGAGCGTGCAAGTGGAACAACGCCACTCCACCACGATACTTTTGGCAAAATTAGAGGGTTTTAATCTACGGTTTTGAGATAATGCAAAATACGGTAAAGATTTTCTTACATATGTTATACTAGTTTAACTCGTTCTTCTACGTTAACTATGCGCATTTTTGTACTTTTTTATTTATTTGCGATTTGCTTTTCGTTCTCGCACATTACAAATAATAAAATAATCATATTTTTAGAGAAAATAAGTTTTTGTCTGCTTTTTTGAATACTCATAGGTTGTGCGCTTATACCAGTACATCTTCTCATATCGGCTTAAAGACGACTCAAATCAATTGATTCTTAATGTTCCTATTATTTGGAGTTTTGACACACAAATTTGCCTAGTATTATTCATCTCAACAATTACAAAATATTGGAATAAAATAGTAAATTATAAAGGACAATTACAAAAATGCCACTTTTTGTGTACACATTTGCAAGAATGCCACTTAGGGGTGTCCATTTACAA